CAACTTCCTGTGAATAGCTGATGTTTTATGGCATTTGCAGTTAACCCCTTAATAAAGCCCTGGTTCTGTTGAAGTTGATTTGACAATCATCATGGACTGGAATAAAGCCAGCCAGACACCCCTGTTATTCCAAAAACACAGCTACGTTTTCTTTGACCTTCAAGGTTTATCTCAGCTAAGCCAGCAGCGATGGAGCTGTATGGAAGGTGTAGCATGGCTCATGATGTTTTTAAACAAGCACAGAAGTTGGCATGAGAAAAGCTGTCAGCTTGGTTATCACTGCGTGTCACTGTCACAGGGGGCTGGCACTGTTCACTCAGTCAGGTAAGTGCTGCTGAAAGATGAAGGGCTGGATATAAATGATGAAAATGCTCGTGAATAGATGCACTGTACTGTGATACTGTCACCCGGATTCACGGAGTGGAGAAAATGTTATTCTTTATTTCAGCAGCTGGAGGGGCTTTCTCATACAGAATGAATCCTAACGGGCAAGATGAACTGCAAGGATGTTACCTGAGATGCCAAACATGGGCAGGGAGAAATGCTGACAGCTCRTTCACACTACAGGCAAATGAGATCTGAAAAACCATAGAATTGAAGGCAGAATTTCCTGAGGCTTTAATGTAACCAGGGTTTGGCTCTTAATTCCTAACCTGGACACTTGCTACTTCCAAGGTTTCACGGGKTTTTTTTCAGGTTTTTTAACTCTCTCCTTGCCTTTCAGCACTTTTGGCTTGATAAACAGCTTTGACATTGTTTGTTAAACTGACTTCAAATATTTTGAGTGACTTGGCTTAACGAGGAGTAGAATGTAGCCTGCTTTCTGTTGAAATATTAGCTCTATGAGATTTATAAAAATCGTCTTTATTCAGTAATAGTATTACCTCACATTTTTATAGGGAATTTGTATCTTAAATGCTAAAGCATTTTGGCTGTGAGTCATCATGGCAGAATTGGCCAAAACTGTGGGGATTTCCTCCACTGGCAAGAATGATGGTATAACAATCAGACAAGGAATGGCAACGGAGAGCTTGGAATGTTCTTGTATTCCTACTCTTGAATATAATCACTATATTTGAACTGTGTCTCCCACAAAAAGAAACAATAAACATAGGCTCATTACTTTTTACTTTCACAAGTAGTTTCCAAAACACTTAGCATATATTTAAGAAATAGAATCCCAGTTTTGGTCTTAATTTTATTTTGCTTTTTAAAACAAACCAAGCAGTAACTACTGAGGAAAATAGCCCTTGTTTTTCAGAGAACCCTAGCAAGTTAAAAGGCAGAGAATAGACTAAAAACTATTTTCAATCTTGAGAAAAGGAACATTAGATTTCATAAAATGCTTCTTGTAAAGGTGCCTTCCCCATCCCAGTGAATGCAGTTCAGTTTTTCCCAGTTGCGAGGGAAGGATAAGGTGCCTATTGCAGTCATAACTTGCCATCTCGTGGCGTGTTTGTGCGTTACCACGGCTCAATTTCTTAATCAATTAAGGATTTTTACATTCAAGGAAGTGTACATCAGCGTGTGTAGGCCCTCACAAAGGCCAAAGCCTGGCCCTCATTAGATGGTTAAAAGCCTAAGGGGCGCAGGTATCTATTGCCGATTTATCAATTCTGGCGTCTCTAATTAGGCTCAGATGATGCATAAATGATACACCGGGACGAGCCTGGGGGGTCCCCTCCAGCTCCGCGGCCCCGCGTGGGCGGTGCTGCCCGGGATTCGGCCGGTGGGGAACGGACACACGGACAAATGGAAAAGTGGACACACGGACAAACGTCCCCGGGAGCACCGCGGAGGCGGCAGCGATTGCTCCACCGCCCCGTTCCCGCTGTCGCTCCTCCTGCCCGTCTGCCGAGGCCCCTGTCCCGCTGCCGAGCTCCCCGTCCCTCCGCCGAGGTCCCTGTCCCTCTCATGGTCCCCCGCTCCACCCGCCGCTCCCTCCCCGCCCTTGGTCTCGCCTCCCGCCGGCTCTGGCCGCTCTGGCTGCGGCGCTGCTGG